CAACCAGACACGAGTGGAGGATAATAGATGCAATGTGCGGCCATATGTATCGCGCACGCCTGTACGCGAGCAGCTGGGTAAGCTGGCGTGTGGTCGAGGCTGGCCAGTGTCTGAAACTGCGCAGAGGTAGCAACACCAGTTTGCGCAAGAGAAGGAAATGCCACCAGGATGTCGAGCCGAAGCGGCCAAAAGGAGGTGTACTGCGCACCAGCGATAGTGAAGGCCGCATGGGAAAGATTGTTGCGAAGGTAGTCTCTACTCAGCTGGCCTGTAAACGAGGCTGGCCGAATAAATATCGGCAGCGACCAAGAGGGGGTGTCCAAAAGAGGGGGGGTGCAAGTCATGACCGGCGGCACGTGCGCGGCTCAGCGGGGGGGCCAGGGACGTAATGAAACAAAAAGAGGGGCCATGAACATTGAGAATAGCATGGCCCCCGCCATGATAACCAACCCCCCCTAGTCATCACACCCCTTCTTTGCCGCAGCCGAAAATAGAGGAAGGCTGGTAACCAAACAAAGCGGGTAACTTGTTTCGCTGTGATCCTCCACCTCCACCTCCTCCTCCCCCTCCCCCCTCTTCCTCCTCCTCCTCCTCCTCCTCCTCCTCCTCCTCCTCCTCCTCCTCCTCCCCTCCTCCTCCTCCTCCTCCCCTCTCCTCCTCCTCCTCCTCCTCCTCCTCCTCCTCCTCCTCCTCCTCCTCCTCCTCCCCCTCCTCCTCCTCCTCCTCCTCCTCCTCCTCCTCCTCCTCCTCCTCCTCCTCTCCTCCTCCTCCTCCTCCTCCTCCTCCTCCTCCTCCTCCCTCCTCCTCCTCCTCCTCCTCCTCCTCCTCCTCCTCCCGATCCTCCGAATCCTCCTCCATCCTCTCCGTCTTGGGGCATAGCGTCTTACCCATCACACTATTCCACAGCATGGTCCTCCACATCCCTCATCAGGGCATATCGTCCGGGCATCGTTTCTGGATTGCTCGTGGAATGCTTTTTTGTTCGCGAGAGTCACGGTCCAACCGCGCGCCGTCCAGAAGCGAGACAGCCGCGCCAAGATCTAAAGCGCAGGAGCGAGATACGCAGCGACTCAGAACGCGAAGAAGACGCTGAAAGACAGGCCGACAACGCCGATGCCGTGGGAGAGCAGGGGGTGAATCCGGTCCGCGTGCAGCGCCCAAATGGCGAGGTAATTTGATCCCGAATCCCCGAAGACCACGTCCGCGCACTCGAGGGGTACGATGACCACGGCCACGTAGAAGAGGGCAGACCGTGCTGGCGATCTACGGAGGACTCCGGATCGCCAAGGGGAAGTTAAGGGGCACGAGCGTGATGGAGCCCCTTGCGCGTAGGAGAGCACGAAGGCGGGAGCCGCGGCTCTGGGGCAAGGACAGCTGTTGGGGTTACTTTTTTGATCTGCGGCCCGCATGGAAAAGTCCAGAGGGCGTGGTAATTGAGCAAACTGGGGCACAGTGTCAGATAATTAAAGCTGCCAAGCTGCTGGAGACGCAGGCCAGGGGCAAGACCACAGCCCAACGGCTGAAGACCGCGCCAAGCAGACCGGCAGGCAAGTGCACATGCAGAGAGTGAATGACGGTCGAGTAGTCGCCCTGACGGCGCCAGCTCGCAAGCAAAACTGCCAGGCCACGCGGCAAGCCCACAGCCCAACGGCTGGAGACTGCGCCAGACCGTCCGGCAGGCAAATGCACATGCAAAGAGCGGAAGACAGCGAGAGCCAACAAGGAGTCGCCCTGACGGCGCCACCTCGCGAGAGAGACAGCCACAAGCAACCAACCGCAGCACGCACAGGGCCTGTACCCGTGCAACCGCTGGGGCAACAGCAGCAGGAGGCGGCGAGGGGGGACGAAGCGAGCGCACAGAAGACCAGGAAGGGCAGAGGGGCGAGGCGAAGAAGAAAAAAGGCGGACTCACTCACGGAGCAACATGTGCTCACCGGCTACCCGTCACAGGACCTCTCCACGGCAAGTCGACGTCACCTTCCAAGTGTCGGCTAGGTCGGCGACCAGGGGGAACGTCACGAGGAAGAGGCCTGCCGATCAGCACCTCATGAGCAGGAAGCCGGACTGCGGAGAGCAACCCTCAGGCGGCCCACATCACCCGGGCGAGCACCGGCGACATGCAGTGTGGAGGGGCCCGCTGTTGGGGTTACGCAAAGCGTCTAGAATTGCAGGGCGCACTGGGCGTGCCTGCACAGCGATCGACGAGCCACTGCGGGCATGCGAAGGCGGCCGCATAGGATTGGCGCCCCCGAAGCTGTAAGTCCTTACGCGCTGGCGCTCCCGACACCAATCCCTCGTAAACAACGCCAGGCTAGGACTCCCCAAGCCAACAGACTCGCGCTACTGATGCCCCAGCCCATCGCACGTTACGACAAGCATTCGCCCCCTAAGCCACAATCACACGCAAATTACCGATCATTGGCGCTGGCGAAACCACAATCTTTTACGAGCTATGCCAAGCTCGCGCCCCCCGGCCAGAGATTCTCGTAAATTGCACTATTCGCGCTCTCGAGGCCACAACCCTTTACGATAAGCATGCATCCCAGAAGCCAAAATCACTCGCAAACTACTGCATGCACGCTCGCGCTCCCGAACCAACAATCCCTCGAAGATTGAACCAGGCACGCGATACCCAAGACACAATCCATCGTAGACTACGTGGGATTCACGCTCCCGAGGCCACGACCCCTCGTAAATATTAGAAGGATGCGCCCCCGAATCCAACCCCTTTATGAAATGGTGCAAATTAACGCTCCCGGGGCCACTAACCCACCCCACGAGGGCCGCCCAAAGGCGCCACCACTCTCCAGCGTATTTGGAAACATGTTCGGAGGGGCTGTTCGTCCTCCCAGCCGTTTCCCGAGAATTCGGCCCGGGGGCCTGGGACAATTCTAATGCGGCCAATTCCTCATCAATGACGACAGCCTCCTGCAAATTATCATGGACTCGCGCTCCCGAGGCCGCAACCCCGTGTCAAGTACAACGCGCATACGTTCCTGGGGCCACGAACCTACCATGCGAAGGCTGCCCCCAAAGCGCCACCCCTTTCCAAGAGCAGCGCGATAAGCTTCGTGTTGGGATGTGGATTCGGGTGGCGGCTTTCGGCCCCCCCTCGTTTCTAGAAGAGAGTTCGGCTCTGGAACCGACACCGCGAATACTCGTAGATAGCCGGTGGTGCGCGTCTCTCGAATCCCCGAAGCCCCGTTAGCTACACTGAACGCGCGCTCGCGAGGCCGCCATACCAAACTGACTGTTACAGACGCGCGCAGCCAGCCAGCCCGAAAGCAGCCCCAACCGACTGCCACTCATCCATTCGGACTACAGGCCCATACGCCGCGTTGCCAGCCAGCCAACCGAAAAGCCAACAAACTGACAGACAGACCAACCGCAGCCATGCAAGCATTCACAGCGGGGGCTAACAGTAGAGGACGAACCACGCCAAATAACACGGATCTGCGTGGGGCGCCAACCCGCTGGCCCCCGCACAAGCCCACGAAAGCGGCGATGGTTGTGCACTTGGCAGCCGTGCCCAGGGGACGGCGAGATTCAAATGAATCTGTGTGGGGCGACACCCCGCTAACCCTCCCAAGAGCCCACGAAAGCGGCGGCAGCTGTGAAGTTGGCAGCCCCAAAGGGGATCGCGAGGTACAATCTGGATCTGCGCGAGGCGCCACTCCGCTGACCCTCCCAGGAGACCACGACAATGGCGACAGTTGCGCAGCTGGCAGCCTCCAGGAGACCGCGAGGTCTACTCTGGATCTGCATGGGACGCCACTCCGCTGGACCTCCGAGGAGCGTCGCGCAGCTGGCAGCCCCTCAGCGACGGCGGGGTAGCAGACCGGAGGAGGGAAGAGTGGGATTGGCCCAAAAGGAGAAGCACAGGATAATTGAGAAACATGATGATGAGAAAGAGGAGGGGTAAGGTAAGGTCAAGCGACCCACCCGTCCGCAAGCCGTCTAGCTCACTCCCACCCGCGCTCCCAACACATAAGTAACACCCGAGCCTGAGCATGTTCAGCAGTCGTCTTTGGATGGACAGCCACTGGGAACCAACACCGACCCCATGTGCGTGACGCTGGGGCCCGAGCGTGCCAGGCACGTCTGGTGCACCAGATGCGCCACGTGTTCCACGTGCGCCAGGTGTGCTGCTGCATACTCCAGCCGCGCCAGGTGCGCCACATTCGGGGCACGTGCAGAGTGTGTCAGGTGTGCCTGCGCACGTGACAGCACACATCGAGAAACACGTCGGCCCCCACCAATTGTGCCGAAAACCAATGCCCATCATTGTGTCTGGTGGGCGGGCCTGCGCACAGAAGGCCATACGCCACCACCTCCTCCGTCCTTGTCAAAAACCACTTGACAGTGATCGCGGGGTGGCCGCGCATGATCCAGATCTAGCCGCGCGAGGTGCATGTTGTACTGTTTTATCAGGGATGGCAGGTAGCCCTGCGCGCAGCAGGGAATATGCTGACACCCCCGCCGTCCCTGTCAAAAACAATACAAAGTGCTCGCGGGCCTCACGAGCATGACTCAAGACGTTGCCCCAACGTGTATGTTGTTTTGTTGTTTGACAGGGGTGGTGATAGGGGGGGCGCGTCGGCTTGACCGCGCATGCTCCAAGTGTGGAGGCAGAGAGCGTGTTGCAGGGTGTTTTTCGACATGGATGGATGCCGGGTTGGCCGCCGTCTGGATGGGGGAGGGGGTGTATACGAATAGGCAACAGTTACAAGGTAAGGACGCTTGGGGGTCTCAATTCCTGGGGCTTGAGACGTCGTTCACCCTTTTTCCTCTGGTGTATTACCTTCTTTCGGCAATCCTAGACGAACGTCCTAGGATGTTCACAGCACCAAATACCTCGGGACATTCCTGCCGTCAGCATCGATTCGAGGAGGAGGAGGAGGAGGAGGAGGAGCCGAGGCAGAGGAGAGACAGCGGAGAAGAAGGAGGAACCGAAGCAGAGGAGAGGCGGAGGAGGGAGGTGGAGGGAGGAGGAGCTCGGCCTGGAACAGCGCGGTGGCCCTGTCCCAGTCGCCCAGAAGCTCTGCCTCGAAGATGAGGCGCTGGAGCGTCGAGTCCTGCTCCAGACAGGAGGATGAGCGGGAAAGAGGATGAGGAGGGTGGACGAAAGAGACGAGAAGGAGATGAAGAGGGGACGAGGAGCAGACAAAAGGAGCAAGAAGATGAAGCACAAACTGAAGAAGAAGAAGAGAAAGAGAGAAAGAGAGAGAGAGAGAGAACGAGGCAGGCGGAGAAAGAAGGGTGGAAATGAGGAGGGGAGGAGAAGAAGGAGAAGGAGAAATAGAAAAGACGAGGGATGAGAGAGGGAGGATTCCGAGGAAGTAGGAGGGAGGAGGGAGGAGTAGGGATGAGGGGGAGGGGAGGGAGGGGGAAGGGGGGAGGGAGGGGGAGACGGCGGAGAGAAGGCGGAGGGGAGGAGGGAAAGACAAACAAGGCGATGCAAGCGCGCGTCCGCCACTAGGCAGGGCCGTTCAGAGCCGACGACGAGGAAGATGAGCAGGAGGGACCCAGGACCTCCGATTTCTTGATTCTCCAAATAGCTGGCCGCAGAACCTTTCGACCCCTTCCACCAGGACGGCTGTTCGTCCTGAGCCGAGGCTTCCTGCCTCCGGCAACCGAAAACTGATACAACTCTTGCGAGATGGTTGCCCGAGTCGCCGCGGTTTCCGGCACCTCCTCCTCCCCCTTCTCCTCCTCCTTCTCCTCCTCCCCCTCCTCATCCTCCCCCTCCTCCTCCTCCTCCTCCTCCTCGACATCGGCCCTCGGACATCTGGCCAAAGACTCAAGGCGAATCCCGCAGTGGCCACGAGAAGCCCCCCGAAGCCCGAGTCGATCATCGATCCTCTCAGACATCCCGCACTAAAGGGATCCTAACAGAGGTTAGAAGATTTGGCGGAAGTTCCCAGCCGACTTCGGTGGGCGGCCGGATTCCCGGGTTCCCGGGCTCCCGGGTTCCCGGGTTCCCCGCTTCCCGGTTGCTGGTTCCGGGCCGAATTCGGTGGGCGGCGGGGTTCCTGGGCTTCTGGGCTCCTGGTCAATCTCCCTATCGGTCTCTTCCTCTCAGACACCCGGCGCTCGGATACGCTGGATGCGTGAGATCCCGGAACCACCGATCCCCTCCCCAGGGCTGGGTTTCCTCCCGACCAGCCTTGCGACGGCCCCGAGGCCCGGCGCCCGAGCATGGCTGGCGACGGGCCGCCTCAAGATCGAGGGGCCAGACATGTTGGCTACTGCGGGGGGGCACCAGGGAGGGGGGGACTGGCCCAGGAGGAGAAACATCGACTTGGAGTCGGTTATACACTGCCGATAGATCGGCTACCCCCTATCGCGAATTCACAAACTCTTGGCCGGGGGAGGCTACCATACCACCCCCCTATCGGCGATGAATGGGCGATTGGGGGTCGATGCATCCCCGTTTTGCCTCCCCCCCTAACGATGCCCATGGGCTACGCATCCCGTTCCCAAGTCACGACTTTGTGGGGGGGTACCGACCGAACAAACTTCGAGGCCCGAGCTGGGGATAAGCGATGGGGGGGGCGCCCATCCTCGACATGGGCACGTCCGAATAGCCCATCGCAAGGTGTGTATGCCCGAGTTTCAATCCTGTCCTGAGCGGTGTGACTGATCGAATGGGAACTCGGAGATCGGGTCGAGAAATTACCTGCAATCCTCCTTCCCGACCCACGCGCCAAAGGATCCTGGTCGGCCGAGGGGGAGTGCAAGGGAGCACGAAATCTCCGTTCCCCTCTTCCTCCTCCTCCTCCTCCTCCTCCTCCTCCTCCTCC